AGAACTGAACATCTTGTCCAAGAGAAGCAAGAACAAAAGTGACAATTAGCCATCTTAACACAACTCTGGTATAGAACTGGATATTTAAAAAATGTTGATTTTTCTATTTTTTAAAGTGTCCCTATGTTTGAATTAGAGGTTACTTAAATACTAGGTTGCTTGCAAGACATTTAAATAGTGTTACACCAATGAGTTTCTAGTATGAAACAGGAAAATTTTAAATTCCTATTGGTTAATAACTTTAAAATATAAAAGTAAAATGTAATAAAAAAGCATAAATATTATGGAAGTATGTGATTACTGTTTTGTATAACTGTTGTATCTTTTTGTCAGGGTACTCACTCTTACACAGGAAGATCATTAGTTCCACACAGCCTAATATCTCTACTTCATGTAACATTCCTGACTGTAATCATAAGCGATAAACCTCATGGTTGTTGAAAGCGCATTGAAATACAGTTTAAACTAAGTTTTTCAGATTTGCGTTATTAGTTCTTCACCACTCTCAGGTAGGCCTGGTCTGGTAAAAAAAATAGTGATGGCATGATAACGTTGCAGTGTGTGAGATTTATCTCATCTAGTAGTGAATTAAATTAATTATAAATGACAGAAAATGGCGCTCTTGTGCCTCCATGTTAAGCATGTAAGAATTATTACGGAAGTGTAGAGTGATCTTGTTATTTCTGCATGTTAGCCTCCGTTACTCTTGTCTAATCAGCTAAAATGAACGATGAAACACATTTCACTGAAAACAGAGCTTAAGGAAGCTTCCACTCACCTACTTAGGATTTTTGGGAAGAACATAAGCAACAGATAAATGTTGCAATCAAGATCATCCAGTGATGGCTAACAAACAAACTAGCTGACCCTGCTGGGGAGAAAGACTTTTTGCTGTATTACACTGCCCTGGTTATAACAAATAAAAAATACAACAAACAAAACTAATTATATTTTGCTAATAAGAAGCAAATGTGTTACACACTATCTCTTCAATAACAATATGTTGCAGTATTATGATTGCACTGCTTATTTTTATTTATTTTTAAATGTTCAGTTCCAAAAGCAAAGTGGAAGATCTTCAGCTTTTGATTTAGATGACCCGCTCCAACCAGTTTCTTATTAACCTACAGTATCCTATCATGAAAATCTTAATACATAATCAGCTTTTTCAGTGGGGGCTTAAAATTACTTTTCCTTGCAGGGTCTCACTTCCCTTAAGTGCACATGTTTTTACTTATTAGTGATACAATTAAGCTTACTAATGAACATGTTTTTTTATTTTCATAGGATGACTATGTTTCCAATGCTTTAATAGTAATGACAAATCAGGGTAAACTGCACAACAACAGATTTATTTTTTTATTAACTCAATGCATCTCTGAGTTTCCATTGTGTTTTAGATTCAGAAGTTTAATGTAAAGTTTACTAGTAAAGCATTTTATGGACAGATAAGCAGTAGAAATTACAATCAGGAATCCGACTACACAAAACAAATGTCTGTGTCTAGGCATTCGGGACATTCCATTAAAAGTAATGAAATTACGTGGAAGATATACCTGGAAAGTTGTGGCCAGCATAATCATCAAGCCGTGTGTGTCTAATGAAGCTAAAGACTGCATTAACCTTACCTTGAATTGAGCAAAAACGACATGGGTGATGCCAGATGTGAGGCCTCCTAAGGCGGCCACTGTCCAAAAGCACATTGGGCAACCTTTTACCCATATAACTGACCTTAACAGATTTCAGAGCCAGAGGTGTGCACATCTCTCACCATCTTAGGGAACCAAAGATGGGCAGAAAATTTTGAAGTGCTCGACTCCTTCAGCCATCATCCAAGCTGCAGAGCTGGCAGATATACACGGCTGCACAGGTGGAGGGGTTGTGATGCTGCAGCTGCACAAACAACATAATGGAAAACTTTTTTATTTTTTTATCTTTTCATATCTGAGTAGACCATCACACCAGTGCATGCCTATTTCCAGGCCAGCTGTTATCTGCAGTGTTACATTCAGCAGATAGCCGGAAGGATAAATATATTACAGATGTTTGTATTGCCATGTTTGCTAGTCTGTTTTTATTCTTTTGAATAGGTCTAATTTAGTATATTTTAAAGAATCTTAATTCTCAGAAAAAAGTGTGATAATATATATTCAATACAAAATCAATAAAGCCTTTTATCTAAACATCACTTTAAAAATCCTCCCAAACTGTATCTTCACTGGTATTAGTCCTTCTATCACACATGGACACCCTCCCTATTGCATAGAAAGGCTATCTGCTTTTTTTCCCAGCTCTCCTCACAAGGGAGTTGCCTGCATGTGGTGTACCATTTTAAACCTTAACTCAAAACGGCTCACAAACACACATGCACACATAAATGTGCACACTTGTTTTGAGTTTTGACTTCAACACGATCTTCTTCTGGAGATTGCTTATTTATCGGGAGTTGTACTAAGCTGCACCAGTTACCATGCATTTTTCATGAGCCAAGGATTTAATGGCTGCCTGCATGTGTGTGTGTGTGTGCGACATGCATTTGTGTCTGTGCTGTTCTTGGTGATGAGTTCAAGCATCAGTGTGTTGAAGAATTTATGCACGCAGAGCGCAAAATGTAGTGCGTGTGCACTATATATAAACATGTGTCATGCAAAAGTTCTGCGAAATGTTTTTCCTTTGGGGACTCTCCTGCTCCTCTCCCCTCCTTTTCCTCTCTCATCCCGAGGGACTCCTTCCATCCAGCAGGTCTGTTACAGTCTTGAAAGACATGAGGGCACTGCCTGCAGGATTAGGTTTCTGCCATGTTCACATTCCACACTGGTCCTCCAGGGACCAAGGTGGAATGAAATTCATATGTTTAAGAGGTTTTCATGCAAGTATGCACATTTCACTGCAGGGTGCCATGAAGCTCTGCATTTGTCTGATCTATAAAGAGAATTTGTATTGAGTTATAATGTACCAACACCTCATAGTATGAGATCTTGCTTGATAAAAAGCATAATATTGTTTAAATTTACACCTAGCATTAGCCAAATGATACATTTATGATAATTTGGGATACAGCAGTTTGAACAGGAAATGGGTTGGCAGTGCGCTGAAGCTGTCGTTTGATGCTGTTTTTAAAGTTAGTTATTAGGAATTGCAGAATTCCAAAGGAAAACGTCTAGTCCTGTTTGTTTGTCTTTTCTCCACAGAATTAACTGGAACAAAAAAACTTTTCTCAAATTGTCATCTAGGCATATTAATGCGGAGGCTAATTAGCTTTAGCAATGCTATTTCTGCAAACTCTTCAAGGTGTAAAACTCGGCAGAGCAAGTTGAGTCATTATTAAAGTCTATTTAGGAGCTGTATTTTTTCATTAAATTAATGATAAACTTTACATATTGTGTTAATGTACAACTCTGAAGGAGTTTCCGGAAACCCAGTTAGCTCAGTAATTGAACAGCAAGAACTATCCAGTAGAAACCAAATGTAATCATTGTTAAAAAAGAAATAAAGAAATAACAAAGGAAAGAAAAAAAGACATATCACCACCATAATTAATACCGTGCAGTTATACTTACAACTTATTTCTTAAATTCATTTAACGCTTGTATTTAATTTGTTTTTCTAAGTCTACAAGGTCATTTTTAGGAACATAAAATTATTAGATGAATCCATAGAAACTGTATTGTTTAGCTGCTGAAATGCAATATATTTAAACTGTGATAAAAAAAGGAGAAAATTAGTGAAAGCCAATGTTTACTTCATGAACTGTGGGAGGAAAACATTTACCAATATAAAAAAATGTAATATAGAATTTGTGGATAAGGAGAAAAGAATATGATGAGCCATTAACTATGCATTTCTGGTATATTGTTACCATATCGCTTACAGTACAGTTCTTTTTAAACAAGAACTATGGATTTTACAGCAAAATATTTTTTTTCCCTTTATTTGTAGCCATATCTTATTACACCAAAACATGTTGAAAATGAATAAAGCTTTTTATTAGGTCAGGGGTAGTTATAAAACCTTATTGGTAAAGAAATTAAGAGACAGCATCAGCAATGTTGTTGTGGCATTATTGGACCAGCTTAGAATTAGATGGACTTAAATGTGCAATGCATAGATTAGTCCAACCTGGGTTAGATTGTTTCTTTTAAATACTTCTTAAGATCTCTCTGCCTTTCTTCCTGTCTTGCCTCTAATGAATAAAGGCCAGTAGTACTAGACCCTCCACCCTACTGAAAAGATTATATTTTAAGATTCATTTTACTGATTAAATATTATGGGTATTTTTCAGAAACCCAGTATCATGTATTGTCTCATTCTGTAAGCTGGGTGTATAATTACACCTCTGGTGTTGAGATTAAAGCAAACCAGCTCCCATCTCCACACACTGATGCTTTAACATTCATACTCACAAAAATGATTTACAAATCACCAGCTGAGCCATTGTGGATCAGAAAGCATTATTATGTAGTACTTTTGGTTGGTCCACTGAAATGCAATCCTACTAATCACATAAATTTTCGAGTTTTCATTGCTCCACTGCTATCAGCATACATTAAAGAGCTCATTATCTCAGGTCATTTTGTTTTGCTGTGTTTTGTTCTGCAAGACCACCAGAGCTACAACAATGCTATACATTTTTGTTCCATGCTCCTGCTCCATCCATGTACTCCAGCTTAAAGAGTGTCTGACTGCCAATTGCATCTTTACTTCCCATCTACATATGCATGTGTGAAACATATGGGAGATGCAATAGTGTCATATACTGCAGCTTTCCTGTTGCATTGCAGCCTCCTAAGACGCTTATGTAATGTTATTGCCAATCACACATGGAGAGCATCCTGGCTCTCTTACAAGGTTAGGATGAAATATGAGGACGATTATAGAGATCCGAGATTGTGTTATCGGGATTTCCTTATTATTGCATCATTAATCTATTTTTGTCTCTTTCTCTCCCTTGTTCTCTTTATTTTTTTCTTTTTCATATCTTTTGCCTGTGGCTCATGCAGAAGTAGAACAAAAAGGTAAGTCAATCTCACACACACTTTAGCAAAATCAGGCTGTGGGTGTCACTTTTTTAATAAAATTAAATGCTTTGTTATTATGGTAAAGCAGCATTTAGTGGAAATGTAGAAACACTGCATCTCATTAGACAAACTCCAGGGTCAGATTATTCTATGCAATTGTAGGAAATGTCACTTCTCCAACTTCCCATTGGAGTACATTTTTATAATGAGCCATTAAGAAAAGAATGACATTGACTTTAAATATTTCATAAGCTGAACTAATGCCAGCACTTTGAAAAGGCAGTGACTGTTCAATCAATATTCCCAGGCTTTTGTGTTAAATCTGGAAATGCACAGCGGAGAAGAATGGGAAAACCACAACTGCCACATCTGGCATGTCTGTATCTGCTGCGCCGATGCGACAGCATTCCAGTTAAATTACTAAGGCTCCTATGATTGGTTGCCGAGGCTTCCCAGAATCGGCTCCATGTCCCACATCCCTCATAAAACATGACCTCAGTATTCCTCAATGGGAAGGCTGAGCATGGATTGGGAAAATAGTTATTGTAGCAACTACAAAAACAGAAGACAATAAAAGATGTGCCCACTTCTGCAGTCGCCCCTTACTGATGGTAACAGAGAGAGAGAGAGAGAGAGAGAGAGAGGGTGAAGCAGAGGAAGCATTGTGAGGCTAATGAGGAACTGAGGAGGGAGTGAGGAAAGGGAACCGAAGGAAAGAGTAGAACAAAGGGTACCATTTTCTCTTTATCACGTAACTGTTAGAGCAGAGTGTAATCTGTTGAAATTCAGGGATGCTGTTTCTGTGCTTTAACAATAACAGTTAATGTAGAGTATCATCATTCACATTTATTCAGTGCTGGTTTCTCAAAGGGCACCATGGTCTAGAGTGTGGTACTTGAGAAAAAAAAAATCTATTTTCACTTAGGTGAAACAGTGCTAAACAAAAACAGGTTTATATTGCCACCTGTTATGATAATTCCCTGGAGAAGAATATTCCTCTATGTAGTTTACATTTTAACAAAATATAGACCTACACCATCGCTGGCTGATGATTCCTGACTTAACATGTTTAGAGCTGTATGGGCTAAAAAAAAGTTGATGCCTGCTCAGAGGACCAATTACATGTTACAAGCTTGGCTAATTAATCATTTAGAAAAACAGATCATCACAGAAAATGTTTTTAGTGTATCAACAAATGAGTAGGGTTTATCTAATGTGATTATTTCTTCATTTTTTTTGTTAGTATTTCTCTGCCCGGGCATCCTACGGGGAGTTTACCAGAGCGAACATCTTTTTGAGTCTGACCACCAGTCAGGTGCTTGGTGCAAAGACCCTCTTCAAGCCTCTGATAAGATATACTACATGCCTTGGACCCCGTACCGCACAGACACCTTAACCGAGTATTCATCCAAAGAGGATTTCATCGCAGGCCGCCCCACCACCACATACAAACTTCCGCATCGCGTGGATGGGACCGGTTTTGTGGTCTACGATGGTGCACTGTTCTTCAACAAAGAGCGCACACGCAACATCGTAAAGTTCGACCTGCGCACGCGCATCAAGAGTGGCGAGGCCATCATTGCCAACGCCAACTACCACGACACATCTCCATACCGCTGGGGAGGCAAGTCCGACATTGACCTTGCAGTAGATGAGAATGGGCTATGGGTGATCTACGCAACAGAGCAGAACAACGGGCGCATTGTGGTGAGCCAGCTCAACCCTTACACCCTGCGTATTGAAGGCTCATGGGACACTAGCTACGACAAACGTTCTGCTTCCAATGCTTTCATGATATGCGGTGTCCTGTATGTCGTTAAGACCGTGTACGAAGATGATGACAATGAGGGGACAGGAAACAAGATTGACTACATGTACAACACAGACAAGAGCAAGGAAATGACAGTTAATATACCATTCCCTAACTCCTACCAATATATAGCTGCAGTGGATTACAACCCAAGAGACAACCTGCTGTATGTTTGGAATAACTACCACGTGGTCAAGTATTCACTGGACTTTGGCAACAATGGTAAGTACAACCGAGAGTCACCCTTAAATACAGCATCTCTTTTCATTTTTCCATCATTGCCAGCCAAACTTCCCTTCCAGATGATGTATTTAACCGACAAATACTTTTTCAGCTGTGACATATGGAATGCTTATAGGCTCTGATCTTCTTTTCAGTACTTAATTCTGTTAAATTACTTGGAAAATGTAGAAAAAGAATTGCTCCATCTGTGCTGTCAGGACTCTCAGCTATGACTGTTCTTCACCTCCTCCCTGCAATCCACACTGCACGTGCACAGAACTCCAAAAATTCAAATGACAAATAATTTAGCTCCAGCGTACCATCACAACTGCTCCTCGATATGCTGTCTCTACATCAAAAAGTCTTCTTAGATCCCTACCTTTAGAATAATAGTGCTGGAATAGTGCTATGTTGCACTTCAAAGACCCTTACTTTGTGGAGTATGATTTTCTAGCTTTCTCTTGTTTCAATGACTGCTGAGAATTCTTTAGAATGTACAAAAATTTCTGCGCATGATGAAATATCCTTTAGCCTGAGCTTGACATTCATTATAGTTTCCTTTTAAACCATCTTATGAGTTTGCTATGAAATGTTGTTACCATTTACACTTAAGAACTCCGCAGGATCGTTCTATATCTAATTTTACCAAAGCAGCAATCACTGATATATATATTTTTCTGGGAAATGTTTTTCTAATACAGCAGGGGAAAGTGAAAAAAATATAATTTCCATCTGATTCAATCATTTAATTTGTCAGCAATATTTACCATCTTCTTATAACTTAAGAACAACTTATTTCTCAGAATGTAAAGACACTTAAATTGAAGTCCAAATAAAAAAAATGCTCAAATGAATAACTCAACAGTATATTGGCTGCAAATTTACGGGTCATTATCCAATTAAAAGACTCAAAGAGAGACTTATGGAGGTTGTAAGCTATTTGTTAATAATCTGGTTTGTATGATGTCATTTGACAAACTCCCACAGTTTTGGAAGAGAAACAGTTACAGCTCAATAGATCCTTTACAGTGCTTAAGAGGGATTATGAAGCACTCATGCGTTATAATATATACTTTGTAACTGAGCAGATTAACCGTTCAAGTTTGTTCCAGATAAGTTCCGTATGAATCTTTTTGTGTTGAGTGAAGCACATACCATACATTTAGAAATGTGATGGTAGGACTGAAGCAATGTTTTCACATCTACCCAACAGCAAGTACTTTTTTCAGGTTTTTATATAGACTTGGTGATCATAAGGTGCTAATGCTTGCTGCAGTTCTGGAACAGTGAGCTTTGATATTTTTTTCAACCTGATTAAGAAGATCAGTAAACAGATGCCTCGACTGAATGACGTGTCTTTTTTTTATACTAATAAAACAAGATAAACATGTTCTTCTAATACAGAAAAATCATATTTTTTGTTTAATTTCTGTGAATGTTTGAAAGACTCAGTAACATTGTCTAAGTTGAAGAGTGTCTCATTTTAGCTCTGGTATGAGTTGTGAGTCTGACCTCCTGTTCATCTTTCCCCTTGGATGGATGGAAGGACTTCAGCCCCAGGAGCCTAAAGGGCTATTTGCCAGCATAATTGCCTTTCAGCACCTTTCTATGGAGTGGTCAAGGCAGTCTGGCTGCGTGTCTTATTAAATGATGTCTGAATTAACGCATGCTCTTACATGCAGTTAGGCAGCGCAGTACAAGAAATTATAGAGAGAGACAGCCGTAAACTTGGTTTTTACCGATCAGTGTGTGTGTAAGTGTGTGGCTATGTATGTGTGAGACATTGCTGTAAAAATGTGCCTGTGTGTGTGTGTGCATAGACATGCATATTGATGAGTATGTACGCTTGCTAATGTATTTATAGCATAAGTTGCTGTTTCATTCATGAATGTTTATTTATTATGAAGGTGGTATCATGCTTATTATGGAGCTCACAGAGTCTCGGGTGGCTCTAAAGAGGAGATCAATGGGGATTCAGTGTGGTGAATGACCTCCAGTGCATAGCAACAAGCCAGAGTACTGACCAGAGGGAGATAAATACATACAATCAATGGAACATCACTCCTTTTGCGTTCCTCATCACTCCCCCTGTCTCACTTAGGGAGGACAAAGAATAAATTAACTACCTTAACTACATGATTTTCTCATTCTCCGGAAAATGAAGCGACAGATCGATTCTCTGAAGGTTTCCTCTGTTGCATGCTGACACTATTGTGTGGTCTTCATGCCTGCTAAACTGTTAGAGAGAGAAGCTTGTTAATGTTTTCTTTCCTTTCAAATGTACCAAGCATGCTGTTAAAGGCTGGAAGGAAACTTACCATGTTTTAGCTTAAGCATTTTTCTCTGTTCCTTTTTTCAGTATATTCAGCGAGGAAATACAGCGAGGAAAAGGCCTTCCAGAAGGTTTCGGCTCATTACTGATGTAGTCTAATGTACTCCCTGTTTTTGTTTTCACTTATGTGGACTTCTTAAGATATGAAATGAGACAGGAAATGGGCCACGGTCTAAGAAAGAGACAAGGTTGGCCACCGAGGACAGAGAGTAATTGGGCAACAACAGAGAAGCACCAATTACTTAGTTGTGTCTACCCAGCTGGATAACAAAGGCAGGCGGTTTGAAAAGAGTTCACTTCGAGGCACTTGGATTGTTTGGTTTCAGCATGCCAGAAAAGTACCACAGCTTCCTTGGCATTTTGCAAGCAAGGTACAAAAACAGTGCCACAAAACTGCACTGGAGTATTTGTCAGGTTAGTTTAAAGAAATATCAGAATAAATTGGGGAAAAATTGCAAAGTTCTAGTAATGCTATTAATAGGGATATCTGCAGATACCTACTTTTGGACTTAACAGCCTTTTTCTGAGCACAGATAGAGGACTTTCTTAGATGTGTATTACAAGATTCAAACTATTTTTAAGCTCTGTGATAATAACAGCACTGGTTAGCCAGTATTGCTAAAGTTGGCAGCTGTGGATACTCAATAAAGAGACTGTTTTGTCTTCTTTTTTTGATAAAAATTAAGTTCATTCAATTTCTTTTGGTTGTAAAATTCACCTGGACTGACCAAACCTGATGTGTTGATTAATTATTCTTATTACAGAACGAAGACTAGTTTGGGTAATTTGCAAAGTTGCATTACACAACATTTGACAAGACAAGAAAACAAGCCATCAACCCCAAAAAACAAGAAAGCAGGAAAAAAGCAACAGCTAATCCTGACTTAGATACATTTATCCAAATGCAAGAAGACAATTCATTTCATGAACAAAACTTACTGTTTTTGCTTGTATTCTGAAACAGAAGCTTTGCTGCTCAATTTTACAACACAGAATTCAACAGTAATAGTAACTTAAATTAATTTCATGTGTCAATAACCAGAAAATATATTGCCCATTAGTTACTGTAAATGGCTCTTTATGTTATCTGATTGAGGAAAGAACTAAAAGGTGCAGTTTCACAGACTGTAGTTATATTGAATTACCACTATTTAAGAATCTGTATAACTGGTTGAATTCAGATTGATTTTTTTAAGGTGTGTGTGAACAGTATAAGTGCAAAGATTAACGAAATTATGTGTGACAGATTACTGAAGTTAGACCATGATGGGAGGTGACCAAAAGCTTAATTTACAACTCATGGCAAAAATAGCGTGGAAACAGATCTGTGGTAGGATCGTTAACTCTTTGTACAATTCGACCTCCTTTTTCAAAGGAAACCACCAAAAAAACAATATACCAGTAAGTGATAACACACTTTTAATTCCCAAAATGTATGCAGATGAAGGATATACCTCACCACTGATTGCCAACATCAGTCACGTATTTAAATAGCAGGAGTTAATTTTTAGTGCAGTTTGCTTTTCATCAAGACAGAGGTTTCTTGCTTAATGCAAAGATGGGGTGGGGGATGATCCAATATGAGCTCTTAATGCAGACTGGCACACACCTGCTGACAAAGCCTCAGTGTGGGTGTTTAATAAGAGACACAAAGCATGCTCTCTAAGTTGTGCATTGTTCTCAGAGATTAATTAAAGATTAATAACAGTATGCTGACGTTATATTGAACATAACTTCCGTGATGACGCCACCCTTTGTTTTACTGCTCTGCAGTTTTCATCCTTTTCAAAGTCATAGTCCAAATGCCATCACACTTCCTGACAGCCTAACCCAGCAGTGAACTTCCACATTAAACCCATGGACAGGATCAGTCACAGAACAGTGTCAGCAGAATGTCATCTGCAGAGATGGGCCTCTTCCCTCCAGCAGTTGTGGACGCACCAACTGGCTAGAACTGTTGAAGTCTTATGTCATCTGCTCTTTTCTGTGATACATATTGGATTTGTGCCTTTCATGGTACATGTATGATTTTAAAAGGTTCTGCTCAGAATAAATATTGTATTTGAGTAAAAAGATCAATCCATTTGTACTGTTAAAATATAACTTTATTTAGGTTTTAGTTCACATATCAAAACAACGGCATATCTTGATTCATTTTCAATTGTATGTACCATTGAACTAGTATTGTTGAAGTGACTGGAAATAAAGCAGTGGAAACAACCTTATTATATAAATAAATAAAAACTCAAGTCTCACAAAGACGTTTAAAGTGTTCATAAAACAGATTAAAATTGAAATAAGAAATCCCATGCAGAGATTAACCAGTCAAACTTTTGTAGCCATGTCAGTTTGGCATGTAAAGTATGGGAAAAAAAAATATAAATATATTAATTTTAAACACTCTTACTGCAACCTCAAATGTGTTATGATCTGCCGTTCTGGGATGTTTGGTTCTGTTTAGTTTTCCTTTGTGGTATTTAGTTAGGCTTAGATTTATGTTATTCTGTTTTTGCTGTTAAGAATTATATCATTTTAGAATTCTTAGTTTTACGATTCCGGTTTTATGTTGTTGTTTTTTTAGTTATTCCATTCCTCTATCCTCTAGTTTTCCCCTTAATCAATCTTTATTTTCTAGTTTTTGGTAGTATTTCTCTTTTGCTTCATTTAA